GAAAAATTTAGACGTAAAAAATATTATTTCAATAATTAACTGTAGAAAATTATGCTAATAAGTTGAGCTTTAAGTTGATCCTGTGCAAACGTAATTGTACTAATATTAAAAATGTAAGAGTTTATAATGCAAGTTAATATTAAAATTTTAAACTTATTTGGGATTTATAAAATCTCATCAGAGTTTGGTAATCCTAAAATATCTGTATTTTGATTTTATAATTAAACTTAAGATGAAATAATTATGAGAAGAATGCAATGCTAAATGTCTAACGAGAAAATTGAGCAACTATATTTAATTGATCAAAAAATATCTTTATATATTAAAGTAACTAAAATAAGATTTTGATTACTTAAATTTCTTAGTTATATTAACGAGTAATTATAAAAATACTCTGTTAGCAATAACGTCAAATTTCTCATTTTTAGAATTAACAATATATTTCAAAAGAAATATTTTAAAAATATTCATTTAAATAATTTATTAAGCATTTAGGTTTTATTTTTATCAATCCCTAATGTATATTGTCTTTGAATTTATGAAATAAACCCATGGAATTGTTATCATGATAAAAAGACTTGATAGAGAATTAATATGGATACATATATTAGTCTATTTGATTGATTCCTATTTCTTATAAAATTAAATTGCCTAATTATCCTCAAGTAAAATTTTTATCATACAGAATAACTTCCATATTTTCAAGATATATTTTAAATTGTACAAGCTCATATTTTGACAATTCAATTATCCAAATTTCAAAATCACCTATGCATTCTATTTCCATTATAATATCAGTTCAGTAATAATTAGTATTGGATTCATTAACAATTCAAATTATTTTTTGGTTTAATTCAACCTCTATAAAAAGGATAGACAAAATCAATTTTATCATAATAGAGTTGATGTCAATTTAACTAAATATAAACTAAATCATTTATTGAATTTAAACAAGGTGCTTAGACCATGTTTAACCGATAATGATACACATATTATATATAGATATATTAGTTAGTAAGGTCCAATTAGAAACATTTAATAAGATATTCCTTATAGAATTGCTTTAAAAGCATTTTCTTCATAAAAATATTTATTATTCTTATTTTTATCACCTTAAAGAATCTATTGATTGCAAAATCAAAACAGTAAAAGCAAGAAAACCAAATGAAATTTGAGGTATATAAAGATTAGCAAGGCTATTAATTATTGAAAATTTAGGTGCCTAATTTTCAATTGATGCAATTATATTGAACATTAAACCATGGATAATTCTAGTAGATCAAAAGATAATAATAAATCTAATTCAATATATTAGATATGTAATTAATAATAACTTATTTGACTAAAATCTATTTATTAATAAATTGTATAGTCATAAATTTGAAATCAAATTTTGAAAGATTAAATCAAAAGTAGATGGTAGAAATCTCAATCTAGTGTAATAGATGATATAATATTTTAGTAAGAAAAAACTAGCTTGAACCTGACGCCAAAATTATAAATCTATTTAAACTGTATAATGTAGTAAATATAAGATGTAGTCTAATCAAATTATGTAATTACAGATAATTTTTTCATTTTATAGTTTTAAAAGTTTATATAAAATTAGAAAAACAAATCCATATTATTTTAGATGTGATTAAGTGAGAATTTATTCAGAATGGACTAGAATTCATATAATTTTGTTTAAATTGTTAAAGATATAATTTAAAAAAACAAATTCATTATCAATTTCATAAAAATAAGAGTTTATTGCATTTTAAATATTGAAACATTTCCATAGTGCAAAAAATAAATAATAATCCTTCTATAATCAGAATAAAACTTACCATTTAAATTATTATAAGCAAATCGGATTTTATAAGCTTTAATCTTAAAAGTGGTTAATCTAACTTTATGTAATTCTTCAACCATACAATATAATTAGATTATAAACTAGATTAAATTTTAGAGCTCATATTGTTTAATTTAAAATATAATCTATTAAAGAAATATTACTTTGGACACTAATCTTTTGCAAGTCAAGTTTAATTAAATAAACTTGTGCCGACTTATCCTACAGGATGTAAATTCTGATTGTAAAATTCAAAATTGAATTTGTTTTCATCTTAATAAATGATTATCTTGAAATCAATTTTTATTTAATTTTGATAATTCTATTAATAAATAATGAATTGCTAATTAGAATTCTAAAATTTGATTTCTTATGTTATGATTTATTTAAATAATTTATATATATTGAGATATAAAATTTTATAATTAATACAGATTTAAATAGTTTAATCAAAAAGAAATGCTCATATTGGTAAGTTGGAAAGAAATGCATTCAAAGTTTCAAATGTGAGTAGATTATTGTTGATAAAGCATAATCTATATTCTAAACAATCACCTTTTATATTTTAGATATAATCCACCTTTGGCTGCTAAAGGAAAAGACAAACTAATTACATATTATGCCAGCAAAAAAAATGAAAAGACTAATTAAAAGAAAAATATCAAAAAAAATGTGGCATTCTGAAAGCAAAGAATTCAATCATCACATACTCTCACTACATCCAAAAATTTAAAGGAACATATCATCATCTTCTGTTTATAAAAGTTTAATCTCTAATATTTAACAAATGAATATTAATAATGATATTATAAGCAGCATTCCTCTAATAATCTATTTCAAGATTACAGAATTCTTTAAGATGTTTTAAATAGACGATTATGTATTCAGTTCACTATTAATTCATAAGCATTGTCAAGTTGTTCCTTCAATGCAAGTTCTTTTATTTATAGTTTGTTCACAATTTTAAACTCTGGTAAATTTACCATTATTCCTACTTTAGAAGTTATTAAATTTTTGTTTATATTACCATAGCTTTCTACTTAAAATAAAGATTTGTAAATTAATTGTAAGTATTTGTTCAAAATTTAGATGCCACCTTTTTAACTTTGGAATTCTTCAGGAATCATATTATGTTAATATATGCTCAGAGCTCATTATTAAAATTTAATATAAACTCAAAAATAATGATTATGTAATAGTTCTAGTTTATTGAAAATGATATTGAATAAATGAATTTACTCATTCTTACAATTATTTTTATAAAAAACATATTATATAAAAATAAAAAAAAGGAATGGGGTTATTTTATTATTTTGTCTTTAAATAATGAATGTTTCAAACAACAACAACACCATAATCGTTAATTCCACAGGCATTATCTCCTCTTGGTAAATAGATATACCCTTCATCTCCCCATTTTGTACCCCATGAATTTTTAATTTTTATTGAATCTTTGTCATAACCAACAGCCAAAACTCCATGATTTGGATTCTTATTATTACAATTGTTAAAAATTTTTTGGGTTTCAGGATTATAGTATTACCAATTTGAAGCATTAATTGCTACAGAAACTGGTTATATATTAAGAAATGAGATCAAAGCTTCTTCAGTCGTTTCTAAATAGACTATATTATTAAAATGATAAGGACCACCTTTAATTTTGCATCCTTCAAAAACAGCTATCTAAACATAAATATATTAATCATTACATATGGATAATCAGCTTCAGTTGTAATACCATTTCTCTTTGCATATTTTAAAGACTCTCCTCTAATTCCACCATTACAACCAGATAAAGTTGAGCAATCAAGTAATTATTAATTTGATAAATTAGGTAATTCACTGGTAGTTATAAAAAAGAAACCCTCCAAAACTCCTGTGGTACTGAAAATATCGCCTATACCACATTCTCCCTAATCTTTAACTTTAGAAACTGCTCCTTTCGATGTCCAATCTATATTATCAGAAATTTTAATATTCTTAGGAGGAAGAACTCTTTGAATTTTTACGTTTTCTTCTGTGATTTTCAAAGTCAAATAATTTTAAGCAAATTCTTCATTTGTTTAATCAAAGAAGATAGTTTCACCAAAAACTTTCCTTCCTTCTTACTAATTGATGAATTCAGCATATAGAACATTTTATATGTACACAGCCTTTCTATAAACATCTTCTGATGGAGAATATCTCTTTCCAAATTTCTGTTTGAATGATTCATATCTTTAAGTAAAATCAAACTATTCTTATTCATTTGCAATCATTATGGATCCAAGAAGTGTAAGTATACCCAAAGCTAATAATGTTGTAGACATTTTTTATTTTATTTAACAAACTCTATTACAGAATATTTTATAATAATCTAAATCAATAACCAATTTTGATATTTCTCATTGTCTGATTAATCATTTAAAAAAATATATATCTATTAACATAAAAAAAACACTATTATATCAAAATTGTTTATTTTAGATATTTCAGATAAGAATGATGTATATTATCATAATTTCATTAATCAATAAATTTTGAATAAAAAATTCAGGAATATCTAATATAAACGAAATAATTTCAAGTTAAAAATTATTATAAATTTCTTACTCATATCTTATACAATTTTTTGCATTCTTTTTATTTATAAAAATAATTTAGATTTCTTATTTTTTTTTGGAAGGCAAATTTTTAATAATATTAGGTACTAAAAATAATGTGCAAATTATTTGAAAGATGAATAATAGAAGTAAAATATTCTTTAAACACTGATTATGGAGATAAATTTTAAAAATTATCTAGTTTATAATGACCCTGTAGCATTAATATTGTTAAAAATTAGAGATAATTAACTACTCATAGTAATTAAAAAATAGAATGTATACCTTAATTAAAAATTTATTGATTGTATATTAGAATTCTTTCTCTTAAAATAAATAGTGAAAATTTCATCTGGTTAAGTTGCATATTAATTAAATTTTACTTTTTACTTTTATACTAAACTTAACTTTTTAAAAGTCTCAAATTAACCTGCTAATTTTATAAAAAGTATTTATCTGATCCTTTTTAGTTTCTAAAAGATGACTTTATTAATCAACTTAATTAAATTTCTCTATCTCTACTATTTCAAAAATTTTTGGTTTATAACTTTTAAATAATACATTCTCCAATAAATAAATATTTTCCTTTTATACATTACACCCTTTCACCCAATTATATAATTAAGTAAATCCTAAAATAAAATAAGAAAGAATGTGAAGAATATAATTCAAACTATACAATTCAGCATTGTTATTTTTAGAAATTTAATCTTTGTTTTCAATGAATTATGTATAATCTTTTCAGATAATCTTTATTTGGATGTTAAATTAGAATGGTGGAAAACTAGCTAGTATCATCTATTACTTATTTTTCTATTTTTATTTTTTTTCTAAATATTAAAATTAGCAGTGTAAGTTATTAATCTCAAAAATTTTTGTTTACCCCAACTATTATTACACAGATTTATTCTGCTTAATCATATTTTGATGAGATGATGATAAATTTTAATTAAATAATTCAATTATTACTCAAAACCAAAATTTATGAATAAATTCCAGAAAATAATATGGATGAAAACACTCATCCAAAATATACCACAATGCTAAAATCAATAACCTTTAGAGAATACATAATAAGCTATCCTAATAATTAAATCATCCAAATAAAGTATTATGATCTTTTGTAAAAACAATTGTTTTCTACTCTTGACTTAGTCATAATTAAAAAATAAACTTAAATTAAAAGTGGCATCACTAATTTATAATAATTTATAAACTCATTCTATTGTTTGTCCTTAAATTTGAGAATATCTATTAGTTTTGTTCTAATCTTCTTCTATTCTCTTATTTCTAATCAACATAAAAATAAGAATTCCTAGAATAATCAAATTTAGAGCTCCTATTATAAAAAAGAAACTTATGATAAATTTATCTAATCTAATTAACTAATCAACAGCAGTTATCAAATGTTATTCAAAATCACTAATTTCGTTCTTAATTTATTGACTAAAATCTAGTAATTTATTTTAATTGTTGTCTTCCCATAGAGATCCGATTAAATTACCCAAAAAATTACTCATTTTTTATTAATAATAATGATAAATTAGATTCCATCACAAATAATTTTAATTAATTATTTTAAATGATAATTGAGATTTATTAGACAAAGCTTTTACGGTATAAAAATTAAATGATTTAGAAAAAACTTTAAATTGTCATTAAAAAGCAGAAAGAAAAACACATTCAGATGAGGAATCTAAAAATTTAATAATGTTCTAAACTTATGGACTTAATACTATATATAATACTGATTAGGATTTTTGGAACGAGGAGTGAGGAAGGAGAATTTTTGGAACAATCTAAATTAGAACTTTTAGATAAAAAATTGGAAAAAACTAAATTATAAATATTCAATTAATTTAATATAGATTAAATGGTACAAATTGTAAAATATTAAAGAGAGGGTTACAAGATGGTTGTTAGGTAAGATATTGTTATTTATTATTTGATTGAATAAATATGCATAAAGAGATTGAATGGCTATTAAGATGCTATTGAATTATTTATGATTTGATTAGTCAATTCATGTTTAAAAAAGTTGAATCATTATTAGGATGGCAATGAATATTATGATTAGGCTGTTCTGATCAATCTAAAATATAGTGACCATGAAATGTTATGATCAGGAAATTAAAATTAATCTGAAAAATATAGTGAGGCATTTATTAATAAAGGTAGTTATTAAATATTATTTTAATTTAGGAGTTATATTTTTGGTTAAATATCTATATATAAATTGAATGGTTATGAAGATGCTCTTGAATCTTGGACGATTATCATCAATCTAAAAGATATTTATTTATTTAATAACAAATGTAGATTATTCATTAATATATATTATAACATATCTATGATTTAATTGAATAATTAAATATAAGGTTGTTATTAAGATGCACAAAATTTTATGACTAAACTTTATTTATCTAACAAAAGCCTTTATGCATGAAGAATAAAGATATAATGTATTATTATTATAATAGCTGATACATATTTTAATATTCTTTATAGAAATAACCAAGAATTAAAGAAGTGGTATATATATATATAGTTAGTTCTATTTTATAAAAAGATTAAAAATCTGAGGCTTTTCACTGATATGTCATTCAAATATTCTTACTTTTGCTACCAAACTTACTTATTTTCAAAAACTTATACAAATTTAAGAATCAAATATAATTATGTTTGTAAATCCATTTTCAATTTTATCTCATAAACTTCTCTAAGTTCTATTTGAAATCCCTAATTTCTAAACAAAGAAAAGGAATAGTTTCATACATAGAACTCTATCTAACTGTGCATGTATGAAAGTATTTTTTCAATTCAAAAAAGCGTGTGTTACCTGAAGCAAAAAATATGAATAAAATATGTATTTAAAAACGATGTCTAATTTGAAAATTATAAAAGACAAATATCCAAGAAATTATATAATTGATAATCTTTGAGAATTTTGAAATGTATCTCTAAATTCTGTCATCATTATAAAAATATTTTAAATTATAGTAATTATTATATTCAAAGATAAATATAATATTCATTTATTAACAAGCTTTTTATTTTACTGAACTGATATAGTCTTAATTTGATAACTGATATATAAAGCTTAACTGATAATTATATATCTGATTATCACATCTAGATTTTTAGTTAATTTAAGTAATATTTGAAGCTTAGAATTAAGGCTTGTATTTAAATCAAATTTTTTAAAATATATCAACATCTTAATTACATTATATTCCACTATTGTTTAACTTGTTCGATATTAATTATCGACTTATATGATGATAACTGTTAAAAACTGATGTCATCATCCTTATTTATTTGAATAAATAAAAAAAGATTCTTAAAAAAAATCTTACTTTTCAAAAGGATAAAAAAGGATCAGCTTCAGTACATTTTATAAAAATTTGAATTTTAAGTAAATTATATTCATCAATCTATATATTCAAAAATCTATGATTTATGGCTTATAATTTACTTAATCATTCTGAAGCTAATTATAATCCATTTGCCTTAAAATGATTGACAAATTTTATATAAAAATAATTTGAAAATAAATAATAGCCATTTTTTAATATTAAGTTCTAATGATATTTAACTATTACTAATTTCATATATCAATAAATATTTAAATCAAATTACTCTCATTAATTTATTCTGGCTTAGGTAATTTAAAAAAAAACACTAAAAAAAAGTTTAAAAATTGCAAAGTATTAAATAAGTATTTAATACTCTTATTTTAGATTTTAAGTAATGTTAAATTGATTCATATATTTAAGTTGATATCAACTTATTAAAATATTATATTTTCAATAATCATAATCATATTCAATTTCTTTTATTTTCTTAAATTTTTCACTTAATGAATAACATTCTCTTTTCATTTCCACCCAAATCCCAATTTTTTTCCCATCTTTATATCTACCCTCATATATTATTTAAGAAGAACTGCGAAACCCATCTGATATTTCGATCCAATTACCCAATTTCATCCCTTAACCTTCTTCATCATATGATCCTCCACCGCTATATATGTGTCATAATAGTTATTATCATATTTTTACATTTATTTTTAATTATACTTAATATCCCATCTACCAAATTTTTACCCTTCTTTATATCTACCATGGTAAGTAGTTTTGGCACTGTAACCAAATCCTTCTGATATTTCTACCCAATTACCTTACTTACTCTCATCGCCACTTTCATTATATAATCCTCCACCACTAAAAACATACACAAAATCATTATTAAATAGAATAATTTTTTACATTTTTGTTATTTTATATCCTTCGTCACAATTCCAAATCTCCCAATTACCCACTTTTTTACCATTTTTATATACTCCAATATATGTTACTTCAGAGTTTACAGAAAACTTATCCCATATTTCAACCCATTTGCCTTACTTGTTTCCATTACCTCCTTCATTATATAAACCTCCACCTCTAACAACAGCAAAGAATAAATTTTTTAAAATTAAACAATAATTTTACATCTTGCTTTTATCATTAGAAAATTCTTGTTAATATAAAATATCCCATCTCCCTACTTTTCTTCCGTTAAGATATTCCCCACAATAAATTATTTAAGAACTACGATTAAACCCATCAGATATTTCCACCCAATTTCCTAACTTTATGCCTTAACCTTCTTCATCATATGATCCCCCACCACTTAAAAAATTTCATCATTATACAGTTATAATCATATTCATACATCTATTTTATCCATGTCATAATATCCCATTTACCAACCTTAATATTATTTCTGTATATTCCACTATTAATTACACAGGAATCATCATAAAACCCTTCCCATATTTCCACCCATTTTCCTTACTTGCTCCCTTCATTATATAATCCTCCTCCACTAAAATTATAAAATGATATAATGTCTCTTACATAAATTTATTTTTTTGATCTCCTTTAACATTTTTATACCAAATCTCCCATAAACCAACTTTCTTACCATTGTTATATTCACCTTTATATGTTACTTAAGAACCATCATAAAATCCATCAGACAACTCAATCCATTTACCTATCTTTAAAGCTTTTTTATCATATGATCCTCCACCACTTCTAAATAAAAATTAAATAAAACATAATTTTGTTTTTATAAATATAATTCCATCTTCCACATTTTAAATTATTACAAAATTCTCCACTTTCACATACATAAGATTAACTATATCACTATAATTTTTAAATCTATACCTCGAACAATTATTAAATGGCATCATCCATTAACCTTATTTGAATCCATCCTTATAGTATCCATATATAAATTTTAAAATTACACCATACCAAATGGCAATACACTTGCAATATTTATTATTGGATTTTCCATATTCTCTTTTCCATTGAAGATATTAGATTTATTCAAAATTATTCAAAATTTCTAGATCCCTGAAGTCATCAAAAATTAACTACCTATAAAAATTTATAAATAATCATTTACTATCTCAATTTTACTCCATCATACCAATAAATAATGGAATTTTCTGGTGTTATAGTGATTTTAATTCTAACTTTAACAAATTTTTTTAAGTAATCATCCCATTTATAAACTTCTTAATCTCTTGTTTTTTACTCCAATTTTGTTGATTCTAGATAATTCTTTTATTATTAAATCATCTTTATAAAATATTAAATGCATGATCAATTAATTTTTTCATTTTAATAGGACTAAGTTTCTTTTTTTTTCATAATTACAGAATATAATAAAATTTATCTTTTAGTTTTTATTTCTAAAGTAGGTATTACCGAACTTTTCAATATTTAAAGTTAATTAATTAATTTAATTATAAAATTTTGATAAATCTTTTTTCTAAAGAGTTTGATTAGAAAAGATTCCAAATTAGCAAAAAGATCCTAAGCAAAAGATTTCTCTTTCTACATTTTCTTTTCATAGCCATTCGATACCCAAAATTTATAAATTAATTAGGTTCATCCTTCATTCAAAAATAACCTCAACCATATCCAAGCACAAGCTTCTCTCATAAAAATTTTGCTATATCCCACTTTCCAGTAGATATACTTAGATTAGGAACAAAGAATTTTATTTTAGGAACCTGCATGAATTATAAGTTTGATTGTGATATTTAAGGACCATTGTAATTTATTAGAATTCTTTTTTAAACTATTTAATTGAAATAATTATTAATTTGTTATATTAAATTAAATGTCAAATAATAGAGGAAGTTTGATGATATATCTTTTTTAAATTATATTTTTCTTCAGTCTAATTTTTAAATCTCCCTTTCATTTAGGCCATATTTATAATAACTATTATTTAATTAGTTTTAATGAAAACAGTTATATTATTTATTAAATTTTTTACTTTATTATATCATTATAGTAATAATCCTTAGTTCACTTTTAATTATTTACTTACTGTTTATTACATTCAACCTAGATTGAATTCTTACTTGAATTATTCTAACCCTTTCAAAAAGATTAGTTTTTTTAATAATTATCAAAAACTTTTTTAATCTAATTAATGTTTCTTAAAATCTTCAATTTAATTTGTCATTAACTAACCAAAATAAAAATCATCTATTTGACACCTAATATTTCACCTTTGAATATTTGAGAATGAAGTTTTTTAATAAATTTGTTTATTTATCTCTTACTGGAGTTTGATCATAAATTTTTATTACTTGCGACTAATTCATTTATACAATTAGATATTTAAAATATTTTCATTTATTTCTAAGCATAACATAAAATAAATCTTATTCTCAAGCTATTTTTGAGTAATCTTTAAGAGAAAGAAGATTATTTATTTATGTTTAAACCATATTCTTAAGAAATAAACAGCTTTTAATTAAATTATATGAATAACTATATAAATTTGTCTAGAGGAATGTCAGAATAAAAGATAAATAATTTGATTCATTTTCTAAATTATATCCCTTGAATTTTGAGATACAAACTTCTTTAAATTGAGTTACCTCTAAAATATATTGCTAATAAAAATTAAAACTTCCAAAATAAGTTAACATTTTTATTATATATTTATCATAAAGTATTTGTACTAAATCTAAATAACATAGTCCCCTTCTCTCTCTTATTGTTTAAACAAAAAAGACCAAAAATCCGTTAATCCTTATTGACTTTGAAGAATTTGATTTAAAGTAATAATCTGTTTAATATACATTTTTTAATTTATGATCATCTATAATTATAATAGATTACAGATTGACAATAAGTTTCTAGATTGATAAAAATTATTCATAAGATTTATTTTTTCCTTCTTTAATTAAAATAAACAAATCCAAAAAAGTAAATTAATTATCTAAAGATGATAACAAAGGTTTAAGATTTATTAATTTTAGGAATATAAAGGTGAAAGATTACATTGGTATCGATTTCTGAAGGTTAAATTTTAAGCTATAATAAATAATAATATAGAAATTAAGTATTGTACTGCTGATGGCTAAATATTGAGAATGTACAATAATTATTTAAATTTAGTGATTTAAATAAAGACACGAAAGAGACTCCTGAAATTCTAAATAATTTAGAATAAATAAAATATCTTTAATGGTTTGGGGAATATGGATAGAATCTTAAAAAAGTTGGGAAATGGACTGCTACTTGGAAAGGTCAAATTCTTAAAAATGTAGGTGGAATATACTCTGAAGATGGAAAAAAAATAGGGTCATGGATAGAATTAAAAAACAATTATATGGAGTAATTTTAATTATATTACTTGTTAGATCAGCATAAGTATATGAAATAGGAGACTATTTTGATAATTAAAGAATAGGAAATTGGAAATATTTATTTAAAGATTATGAAATGTATTAATTATTAATTATTTTTTGTATAGAGGTGGTGGACATTATAATGAATAAAGCCTAAAAAATGGGAATTGGACAGAATTGAGTCAAGATTTTCATGTGTATAATAAAGATATAATTTAGATATAAATAAATCATTTATAATGGAAAATATAGAGATGGTAAGAAAATTGATATGTGGACTGAATATTTGAGGGAAGATGGATTTATATAATTTGAAGAAATGTAAGAATTACTCATAAAATATTATTTAGTGGTGGAGGGTATTATGATAATATTGGAAAGGAGTTAAAGATTGGTAATTGGATAGAATTAATTGATTTTCAAAAGTAAATGAATAATTATGAATTGTTAAATTAGAAATAAGAAAATCACATTTAATGGAGAATATAAAGATGGTTATAAAATTGGTAGATGGAATATATTAAATTCAGAGTATTCTAATAATGAAATAAAAATTATGTAATAAACATTATAAATTCAATTATAAGTGGTGGTGGATATTATGATGAATAAAAAAAAGGATTGAAATTCGGAAAATGGATTGAATTAGATGATAATTCTACATGGTAAAAATTGATCTATTTCTGTTTTAAATAGTGATATCAAAATCACTTCATTAGGTGAATATAAAAATGGCTAAAAAGTTGGAATATGGGATTTTTATAGGAATAGTAATATAAAATAAGAATTACTGTAAAAATATTTTAATATTAAGTGGTGGGGGATTATATGAAATAGAAAAAGAGAAAGGATGTGTTAAGAATGGGAAATGGATTGAGTTGAGTGATAATTTTGAAAAGTAAAATATTTATGTTTATAATTTTAGCTTTAGATAAATAATTTATTGTGGTGTTTATAATTATGGAAAAAAAATTGGTAGATGGGATGTGTTTTGGAGAGAATCAGATAAAAATGATTTTGAAAAGATGTAAAATTTTGATTAAATATTTCATATTAGAGGTGGTGGATCATATAATTAGATAGAATTTGGAATGAAAGAAGGAAAATGGAAAGAATTGAGTGAAATTTTTTCAAAGTATAATAAATTTAATTCTCTTATTCAGTTCAAGTTAAATTATTTATGATGGCTAATATAAAAGTAATAAAAAAATTGGTAGATGGAATATATATTTTAGAAGAACAAAAGAAAAATTTGAATAAATGTAATCTATATCATTTATTAATTCAAGTGGTGGAGGAGATTATAATTCTGAAAATGGAATGAAATAAGGATAATGGATTGATTTATTTCATAATTTTAGAGAGTATATAAATACAATATTTTGTTAGAGATAGTTAAGTGACCTATAATGGTGAATATAAAAATGGATAGAAAATAGGCAAGTGGGATATCTATTATAAGGAAAGTTTAGGTGACAATTTTGAATGGATGTAAAAATTATTAAATAAGTTAAAAATAGTGGTGCTGGATCATATGATTTATAAGAAAGAGGAATAAAATAAGGAAAATGGGTTGAATTGAGTGATACTTTTCAGGAGTATTTGATTTGAATGATATTTAGTTGGGGTTTGATTATATTTTAAGGTGAATATCACAATGGAAGAAAAATTGGAAAGTGGGAGGAGAAAAAGAGAGATTTTTGTGCATTTAGCAAAAGATTTTTCAAAACGTATTATTCATTCTAAAATAATTTAGAAGAGAAATATTTTATTAAAATTGAAATTATAAAATAAGAGTTTATTAAAAATAAAATAAATCTCAATATATTTTTTAATAATTATAATTTTAAATTAATATAAGATTTAATTTCTTTTATTAATAAAAATTAATTAAGAGTTCTCTCTCAAATTTTTATTAATATAAATTCAGACATATCAATTAACTTAAGAATAAATTAAAAAAATTAATTTTTAGTTTAAAATGATATATTTTTTACTGAAGAGTTTAATATGTAATAAAAATTTTACAGTCTCCAATTATATTTTTTCCTATCTAAATTAATAAGAATGTTCATTCCTTTTAATAAGAAATAAATGTTTATAAATTTCAGATTCTGCATTACACTTATATATTAAATAGTCTACTAGTAGATTGAATTAATATATCAACTTTTAATTTTTGACTACTTGATAAAATTATGAAAATTGTAAAAAAAAAGTAAAAAAGTGAATAATGATTCATATTATCTAACAATATGTTTGTTTTAACTATACATAATATAGTTCTTATCTCAATATAAGAATAATTTTAAATTATTGGAAAAAGGATCGTTTAAAATAGAATCTAAATTATTTATAAAGTAAATATTTTATAATTTTAACAAAGACTAAACTTATATTTGTATTATCAAATAATCTGGGAAATCTTATAATTAATAATTAGTAAAGCAAGTTCAATTATTGATAACTTAGTACTAGAAAATTTTATATAATTTACTATTTTTTTTTTATCTTGAATGTTAAAACATTATTAATTCCCTTCCATCAAAAAACATCCACAACTTTTTTCGCCATAAATTTAATCATATATTCACAATTTTGACTTCTAATTTTTATTCTTTTTATATTTATTAACAACCATATAGAATCCCAAAAAATAGGCAAAGAATATTTTATTTAATAAAGTTTCATGTAGTTTAGTCAAAGCTAACATTTTGAGCATCTCTTCAAGGATTTCCATTTAAGATGTGTCTCTTAACTTCAAAATAATAATTACTTGGAATTGATCATCATTCTGAATATACAATTAATGAAAAGTATTGTTTTTAGAATTATAAAAAAGATTTTTAATTAATTATTATTTAAGCTTAAATAAAAAACCTATGTTTTAAATATTTTTTTCATTTTTAATAGAATATTTTCTAATAATTCATTTATCAATTTAAATTTATTATCTTTTATGAAATTTATGATATATTTTCAATAAAATTTTTAATTTTAAAAATAGGATACCCTAGTTATCATACATTTGTAAATTTATTTATTGATAGATTAAAGCTACTATTAATTTAACATTTTTAAATTTAATATTATGAACACTTACCTATTAATCTAATTTGGGAAAACATTTGCAATATTGAAATATTAAAGTTGAAAAATAATGAAATTATAGCCAAAAATAAAAAAAATCAACTGCTATATATACCAGAATCTGGTAAATTAGGGTTTCTTCTTATTCTTTAACTCTAAAACCTAAGTTTCGTAAGAAAATTTATTAAGAATTTGACTATTAGATTAAATATTTTTTAGGTAAAGAATTAATTAATTTTAATCTTTAATTAGAGTATTATATTTGTTAAATGAAATTGTTTGAGGGATTTAAAATTAATATTAAAAATCAAATTTATTTGGCCAATATTCTTATAATTAATGAGTATAACTTCAAATTCAGACATTGATTAAATTTTGTGTGATAAAAGGAACAGCTTCAATCACATTCATAAAATGGTTTTAAATTTCCATTAAAAGAAAAATGCTTTCTCAAATTAATTTGATTCCCCTATAGATGGGTGAAAATTTTCTCTGGTTTGATAAAATATCTTTTCTTTCTAATCTAATGGTTTTAATTTAATTAATCTTACAATCTTATTGATTCAATTTTTTTCTCATAATAACCCAAATTAATATATTTAATTTAACATGGATCGTTTGGTTATATTTTTAATGAATTCTTGTATTAAATTTTAACTTCCCAATAGTTTTTTAATCCTTTAACTTATGATAAAAATAAATAATCCATCAAAAAAATTCTCCTGAAATAAAATGATTAGATACAGTAACTTTGTATTTAATAGGTATAATTAAGATTAATGGAGAGTGCTTATTCAAAATACATTAAAGCCTGATCAAATTTCTTCATTAATCTATTATCTTAATGATTTAATAATAACATCATAAACATTTTCCTAATAAAAAAATCAAAATAATCTACCTTTTTAAGATAAAGTATCAATATTTTTAGAGTTAAGACCTATGGCTTTAACTAACCAAGATTTCATCTTCATATATTTCTAGCATTTTTATCTCTATAATAACATTTTAAACATTAACCTTATAATTTAATTCAAATAAAATCTACCTTTGTTAATCAAATGTGTAGGGATAGCTCTGGCTTTATCAACCAAAAGATTATTTATTCAACATTTTTATATTGATTTTTATAAAGGATAATTTCATAAACTTTGGCATAACAATTTAATTCAAATTAGATCTAACTTTTTCTCATAAAGAAATCACATGTGAAAGGTTAATAGCTAATTTTTTAACCAACAATAACTCAATAAACTAGTTCCTAATTAAAATTTGATATTAGCATTACCCTTGCAACATAAAGCCTTATAGTTTTTAGGATTCAATTAAATTGATTTATATATTGATTTTTCAAATCTATCATCATTATATATCATTCATAAAAAAATCAAATTTTTTGGATCTAAATTATATTCTATTGATTTTATTGATACCATTACCTTGATTATAAATTACATCTGATAGTTTAATTTTATTCTCATTTCTTAAAATATATGAATTATTTTATTGATTTAATCTGAAATGATTTTTGGAATAGATTATTTGTATTCACTAAATTGATAGTTGAATTCAAGTAATCACCCATTTATTATTAATCCAAAAAGACTAATTTTTCCTTCAATAATCAATGTTTATTACTGATTCTCTATTTATATTCTTAAAATGATTGATTTAAACTTTCTAATAATTGATTTAATTATCGCATTCCTTATTTTGATTTTCAATGTATTCTATCAGACTTTTTGGTTTTTCTACATCATGAAGATGGTCATGTTGGTTGCCTTTCTCAAGACATTTTAAATATTTTAATCAAAATTCGTACAATTTTTATTAGATCAAACACTATATATTCCATCCTAATGATTCTCTTTCATACATTTTTATTTTGACTTACCTTATTAACCCTATTTATATTTTTATATTATTTATAAATTTATGCTAAATTTAATTAATTAAAACTTTAGAATACCTTAATTTATCATCTTTCAATAAATTTTTAAGTTAATTAAAAAAATCATATCATAGTTCTATTTTAGTCTTATATTTGCCTTTTTTATTGTATAAATTAGTTTTGAATATAAGAATGATAATAAGATTTTAATTTATGGATAGAGCTATGAAAAAATTTCACTTAAGACAAAATCTATAATTCATTGAAAATTTCACTCAATATTTCATATTAACTTAAATTGATAAATTAAAGTTGAGAAAAACAGAAATTTATTCTTATCATATTCTTCATTCTGATTATTAATAGCGTTTATATTAGGATCAATACTATTAAAATTAATACATATAAATTTTAATATATTATACCATTATAATAATAATAATAAAAGAATTTGAATTTTTTATGATAGTAAAAATGCTGTGTTTAAACGCGAGACTCATTATAAGAAATAAAATTTTATTATTATATTAAGAGAGAGGAAACCATAAATATAGTCTATTATAGATTATTATTTTTTGTCTTAAGATCTACTTATAATCATTCTAATATATGTGATATAGTTATGGTTGTGCCTATCGTTCCTTCTTTTTGAAATCATCCAAAATGCATTTTTACAAAGAGACAGCTTTAATTGTAATCTAAATTTTTAATATAAATTCAGAATATAGTTTGTATTATTTTTTCTTTTTTGGTATAAGGAAAAATTCATAATTGCAACAGTCTTAAAGGAGCTTATGATTAAATTGATCTTAATTTGAGATGTTATCAATTTAAACAAAAAAGTATAATAAAAATAATATTAAATTATAATAATTTAGATATTCATAATTCATTTTCTAAATCATCTTCTGATTCAAAATCACTTTTTTAATAAGTAAAGTATACTAAAAATGATACAACTAAAACTATTATGGTAATTCCAAATAAAACATAAAAGGATGCATTCTCAAATAAATGATCTTTTTCGATATTTAATATTATAAATGCATAATCTGAATAGTGTATGTTATAAGCTGTAAAATTAAAGTCTTTTTTCTTTTTTGATTTTGATTCTCCTAAAGTTAGATTGATAGAGAATATATTTAATGAAAGTTCTAAAGTGCTACCATTATTAAAAAGAAATAATATTTATCCTTTTGAATGATTATAAGCTATAAATGAAAAAGCAGTAACAACAGTTAAATTTAGTGAAAAATTATATCCACCCTCAAAAAGTAGGGGATTTGAAAAATTAAAACTTATATTTTGAGAAATATTGTAAAAAGTAATCATATGTGTTTGATTTACAATGTCTAATGTATTAGAATACATAAATAATAATAATCCTTAGTCATATTGTGGTAGCTATGATACATTAAAATTATGTCTATCATATGGTGGTGATGTTTAAATAATACTTTAATAAATTAGTTGACTATTTGTGACATTTTATTTATTGATTACCAAAAGAAAAGAAATAATTAAATTAAAATTAGAATTAGAAACCATTAAAATAATTTCTTTATCTTTGTGCTGAATCATAGGAATAGTGTCAAATGAATAGAATTGATCAGTAATACTTTTTAAGATAATAGAGTTTTCA